TTTTTGAGATGGAGTCTCACTCTGTCACCCAGGCTAGAGTGCAACAGTGCAATCTCGGCTCACTAAAACTTCCATCTCCTGGGTTCAAACAATTCTCCTGTCTCGGCCTCCTGAGTAGCTGGGACTGCAGGCGCATGCCACCACGCCTGGCTAATTTTTGTATTTTTAGTAGAGACAGGGTTTCACCACATTGGTCAGGGTGGTCTTGAATTCCTGACCTCAGGTGATCCACCCACGTCGGCCTCCCAAAGTGCTGAGATTACAGGTGTGAGTCACCATGCCTGGCCTTCATCCTCAATTTTCTAAACTAAAAAAAATATAGAATGCTTTTTGGTATTAACCATTAAGAGAACATTTCCTTAAACTTTTACACGTGACTTAAGAAATGCTAACTGCTAACATTATTCATATTGCAGTGAGTCATATTTACTTTAATATCTGTTTTTACCCTGTAGACACTTAAGAAACTGTTTACTCTGCTAACCAGCTGGACATACCCACATATCAGTAAAAATAAATGTAAACTATTACTTATAAATGTGCTTAAGGGACATTGCCCATATGTATTATTTCTGTATTTCAGATCTTTCCAAAGTATAAAAGAAGATTATTTATTTATTTATTTATTATTTTTGGAAGGACAGGGTCTCACTGTGTCACCAGGCTGTAGTACACAGGATGGTCATGGCTCACTGCAGCCTCGACCTCCTGGGTGCAAGGAATCCTCCCACCTCAGCCTCTTAAGTAGCCATGGCATAACACCTGGATAGTTTTTTAAATTATTTGTAGAGACAAGGTCTCACTATGTTGCCCAGGCAGGTCTTAAAAACTCCAGGCTCAAGTGATCTGCCCACCTCGGCCTCTCAAAGTGTTAGGGTTAACAGGCGTGAGCCACCACGTCTGGCCAAAACGCAGACTTTTAAACCTTCACACACTTCTTTGGCCTTGATTGTCTTTTCAGGTTGAGATTTTATACACAGCTAGACAACAAAATATATACTTATTAAGTATAAATTGTATTTTAACAATTTTACTGGTAATATTTAAATAGGTATGTTCAAATTATTTAATTTATATAAATAACATAATTTGAACATACCTGTTTTAAAATTACATTTTAATAATTTAAATAGGTAATAATTAAAATAGGTATGTTCAAAGACTAAACCATATGCATCAAAGATAATCCTTTGTGTAACAATGAGACTTACTTGCGGTTGTGAGGAAGCTTCTGAAGGCAAGCTATGAGATGACCTGCTTCGAGGTGGTGGTTGCGGTGGGGTTTCCAAATTTGTCTGGGGACCGGACTGAGGCATAGGTGCTGCCATAGGGACAAGGGGCTCCTGCAACCTTTGAGCAGGTGGGGGCAAAGAAGACTGCAGAGGAAAGGCAGCCTGAGGCTTCAGTGGTTCAGGAAGGAAAGTTGAACCTAAAACACCAGTAGTTGTCAGATGTTAGGCGAATTCAAGAAAACTATGTTTTTATTCCCTCTTTAGTAAAAAGTTGGGAAAACATTTTAATTATTTAGTTATTTCTTCCCTCAACAAGCAGCCTCATTTCTTGTGGTATAATGAAGGAAGGTTATATCTATTTGAATATGTTGTAGAAGGTGGGAGATGACAGAAGGGAAAAGAAAAAAGATAAACAACAAAACCAGTACAGTATTTCTAATACAGTATCTACCTTTTTTTTCTCTCAATTTTTTAAAATTTTTGATTTTTGACACAGGTACTTGTTCTTTTGCCCGGGCTGGACTGCAGTGGCATGATCATGGCTCGCTGCAACCTCAACCTCCTGGGCTCAAGTGATCCTCCCACTTTAGCTGCCTGAATAGTTGGGACCATAGGCATGTGCCATCACACCTGGCTAATTTGAAAAGTTTTTTTTTTTTTTTTAACAGATGGGGTCTCACTATGTTGCCCAGGCTGGTCTCAAATTCCTGAGCTCAAGCAATCCTCCTGCCTCAGCCTCCCAAATAGTATCTACCTTTTGATGTTTCTGATGTTTTGCTTTGGCTTTCAGGAGTCAGTCTTCCAGCAGATGCCCGTGCCTGGCTCTGTGGGGCACTGATAACTCCAGCACGAGGAGGAATCGTCTGAAGATGGGAAACATAACACCTGAGATGTTTATTCACCTTCCACAGGTAGGATTCTGTGAAAATGTTTGCTTTTGCATCTCATTTACTCTCTTCTATGGTATTAATCCCTAGCTTGTCACTTTAAGTGCTCTCTACTTGAAGCCATATGGTGACGAATTTTAAAATCTTCCTGTTAACTTTTGACTGTTTACTGTGTGCCAGACATTATGTTAATTAAGCCTGGTATAGGCATTTCCATTTCATCTTCAAAATATCCCTCAGAATTAGGTATTATTTTACCATCCCTATTTTAAATTAAGATGAAGAAATTTATACAACCTGTCCAAAGCCACACATAAGCAGAGCCAGGATCCAAATGCAGGTATGACTAGCTGCAGGGCTAGGGTTCTTAACCATGTGCAATGCTGTCTTCATGGAAAAAACTGGGACAATTTTAAAGTACACAAGGAGATAGACAGATATATACCTGATCAACTAGGAGACTTTGGGAAAAAAAACCAAACACCCTGAGATTTGTTTTTTAAGAGATGGGGTCTTGCTGTGTTGCTCCAGCTAGACTTGGAATTCCTGGGCTCAAGCGTTCTTTCCACTGTAGTCCCCTGAGTAGCTGGGACTACAGGTACATGCCACTGCCAGCCAGCTAGGTTTTTTTGTTGTTTTTTGTTTGTTTTTTAACATAGAAGTACAACTTTTGAATGACTAATATTCCAAATTAAATACACTGAAAGACTCAACAGTGAAAAATATTTTTTCTATTTTCATATGTTTGCTGAATGACATAGCTAATAATATTTACTCTGAGCAAAATGTGAACTTTTAAACTCACAAAAATCCTTTCTTTTCCTATACTCATGGTATTCAACAGAATAAAGAAAGTTCTTGTGGCAAGTGTGGTAATGGAATCAGTAAATGACAAATTTCCTTGTTTTTGAAAAAAGGAGGATAAATATTTGAAAAGTAATACTACATATAAAAAAGAACCTTCAGATTGTTAAGTGGACAGCTACAACAGGAAAGACAAAAAAATTCTATTTACATAGGAAGTGGTTTCTTCAGTTCCCACAATCTTAATTTCTAGGTATAGTAACAGCTCTGTTTCCTACTCTTCAGACATGGGTCTCAGTAGTCCCAGGTTCTACTGGACTAGCCTAAGTCACTGTCTACTGGTTTCCATTTGCTCTTTCTCTCTGTTCTTGATTACCTGTTAAAGTCCAGAGAAAGTTTTCAAATATTAAAAAAAAAAAAACTATGTGTATAACAGAACATATGAACATACAGAAAACACGCATTCATCAGGTAGGAAAAAATCCTGCAACACCATCTACTCTCTAATACCTTTACTGAACCTGATCAAGAAAAAAAAACAAAAAGAGAAAAAAAAAAACCTTTAGAACCAGTTTTACTATACTGAATTTACCACTGTTTTTTCTAAAATCTAATTAAAATCATTTTTAATGGAGGATTACTTTATATCTTCATTAATTACTCAGGTAAAATGATAAAAAGCTGCCCAAATCCATCTTCTTCTCATATTCTGCGACTCTTAAGATATGTATTTAGTGACCATAATTGTTTTAAGTATATCACTTTTATCCAAATAATGAAGTTTGTTATTTTTGAAGAGTAGGTAAAAATAAAGTTAGAGTTGGAAGATCATCAAGTGCAATTCCCTCACTTTAGAGTTGAGGAAATTGAGGCCTTGAAGGATCACATGATTTCTTTAAGGTAACAAAACAGACAAGTAGTAAACAGGACTTAGAGCCGAGGCTCCCTTGGCTCCCAGGCAAGGTTTTACCTACCGGTCTGGCTGTACTGTATCCAGCAGGTCCTGCGCCTGCAAGTCCTGCTTGAGGTGAAGGCTGACTGCGTCCTGGAACAAAGACATCATACCATATATTTAAATTAAAAAGAAACCATGTACTTATATTCCAAATGTCTATTTCATGGTCCAGTTTTAAGGGTAAACAGCTACATTCAAGTGTTTTTACCTATATCTTTCCGTGTTGTTCCAGGGCTTTTGGGTGCTTTGAAGCAGGAAGGGAAAAAAAAATTAGTTGTAAGTAAACAAGCAATATTGCATGACATCAGCTTGCTGTTCTGCTACATTACCAGCAGAACTGTGGGTGTGAGATGGTAACAAAACAAAGCACTATGCTTTGGAAAATGATGAAAGGTATTATCAGTCCTGAATGAAATACTCCAAGATAGAAAAACTATAATATTTAGAGAGACCTTTATGGGAGACAAGTGGTGACCTTAGTTTGATATCTCACTCATGGGGCCACTTCTAGGGTGGCATTCCCCACAGAGCTCTTTCTTGTGAACCTTGAAAACATACAGTCAGCTGTGTGAATGGTCACAAGATGTGGCACTGATACCCCTTAAGAGTCTGGTAGACAAATGGCTCCTGAGCAACAGACAGGACCGCATTTGTCAAGTTACACAAGAGGCTCCTATAGCACTACTTTAGGGCTTCACGCTGTGGATGTCACTGTGGATAAGGTTATCTTATGATAAGGTTTTCCAGATTTCTATAACAAAATCCTGTCATTAAGACAGAAGACAGGTATATGTTATTACCAAATATCTGCATTATGGAAGACAGTGTTAACAACATGTTCAAACTCACTAGAAAAGTAGCTGAAGGATAAAATGAAATAAATTACTCTTGGGGCCAAAAGGAGTAGGAGTGACTTTGAAGAGCAGCATGTTACATTAACTCTCCTTTTTGAAAAGAAATTCAAGTACAATTGTTATAAGAAATACATCACTCTTTTAATAACTAAAGTCATAACAAATGGCCTCTAGTCTTAATGCTCTTTTAAACAAATCTGGCTTAGTACCAATCTACATAAACAGCTATGTTATCTGAAATCAACCACAAAATACTATATTCTTGGATCTGAATTAATAGGGCTTAATTATAATCACTAATATTTAAAACTTTAGATGAGTAAAGTACATTTCTAAATATTTTACTTATTCTGAAAAGATTTTAAGACATTCTTAAACAGTAATTTCACAACCTAGGCGTATATAAACTATATATGAAACAGAGTACAAACAACACTAAGGATCACAGGGAAATTAAATATATATCCATTAGAAACTATAGGTGACATAGAATGAAGAGAGAAAAAATACAAGGTACATAAGGAGGGGAAAGAGAAGTTTACAGCTGGACCAAGAAAAGATTTAGTATGCCTTTAAACACTGAGGAGTGGGGAGGTGGGGTGCTGACATTGAGAAATAAAATGAGAGAACCATTTCTATAATGCAAGAGTCTTGTTACCTTCCATCTCTCTCCTAGCTACCCCAGGACTGGGAGGGGCTCCAATACCTTTTCAGAGAAAGAACAGAAGCTATATATTGTTCAGGGCCCACAGCACAGAATGAGAGGCAGGCACATAAGACAATTTCCGCATTAAATTCACTTTTGCAAAAAGGCTCTTTTATTGCTTTAAATTTCTTCAAAGATATCAATACAGACCAAAGTGACTTTAGAAGCCTGGCCCAAACCTGAATCCTCCCTTTACTCAAATAGAAGAGTAGAAATAGGCCAACAGTTTTCTTTTTATATATGCAATTACTAACAGTACGGAATTTTAAAATATGTTTAATGAAGGCCTTTGCTTTAAAAATCATCTTACTCATATCCAGAGCAAGTAAAAACTCTGATATTTGAGAGTCAAAAGGAAAGAAATCATAAATTTCTGAGACCATGTAAGTCTTCTGAAGTCAGTTTTTAATGCATTATTTTTAAAAAACTCTAATGTGTAATGACGTAAAGGAATTAATGGTTATAGGATAAAAAAACATGTTGCAAACACTTCTTACAAAATAATTATGAAGGAGAGCAATTTTTAAAATTAAGAAAGATTTTGTTGTAATCTACTGGATTGCTAATATAACTCTTCACGGATTACTTTTAAATTTATTTTCTACACGATGTTTTCCTAATTAAGAAAGTAAAAATTATCATGAAAATTTAAATAAAAGCAGCAGCTTGAAAAGGGAAAACTTAAATGTAGGTCAATGGAAAAACGGTCACTTAGCTGTATGCTGCAGAAGCTGTAAAGCTGAAATAATTTAGGTATCCTTATCACACACAGTCATTAAGATCTACCCAGGCAAAGTCAGTCTGTAGTATAATCTGAATTACTTGGCCATCTCACTAGGCAAACTACAACAGAAACAGACCAGCTACACATGTACAGTGAGCCTTGGTAATAGTAACATTGGATTTGCAAAAGTTCTTCTGAGGAATTGTGAAAACTCCATCTTTTCTTGAGAATTAAATAAACTTGTCAAATGTATAACTCCAACTGAGCTCTGTGAGTTTTCATGTAAACCAAATAAATTATACTTCAAACAAAAAGTGACCCACTGTGAATAAAAATTTCCTTACTGAAGAAATAAAAAGAAAAATCACAGTTCTTTGCTAATCCACAAGCTTTTCCACTAGAAAATAAATGTATCACTAATCAAATTCTTGGGAAATATTCTGTATTTACTGTACCTGAATGACTTTTAAAGTTAATTGAACTTTTGGGAATTAAATCTTTGTAAATGAATTGACCACATTTATTAATGTGGTCAGTAATTGACCAAATTATTCAATAATTGACCAAAAAAAAATTCAATAATTGACCAAAAAAAAAAATTATCAGGCCTGATGAACAATCCCAATCTATCTGGGAAATGAAAGCCCTTATTAGTTTTATTTGTGGATTAGTTTTAGACTGGAATGTCATTCATTTTGACTTTTACCAAACAAACCTAAAATGTCTTTCGGTTACAGGGTGCAAACTCTAAAACATTCATGAAGCATCACTCACACATGCTAACAAATATAAATGGTTACCTCCAAATTCTTTTCTAGTGGGTGCAGGACTCCTAGCCCCTTATAGTTCATAAGAAAACAGGCAGCAGCAAGGAAATGACATTAAATACAGAAGTGAAATGTCAAAGATTATTATAGTATCCGTGATGTCAAGTATCATGCAGGAATTACATATTAGTATCTAGGTACTACAAAAAACTATTATTCAATATATATGCTTATAATTGAAGTAACAACACTATTTAATTTCAAAGAACATTAAACAAATATATAACATTGTACATTAATACATATGCTCTCCAGTTTTAATTATATATTTTACAGAAATTAATACATTTTAATGATTTTGTGCTTATAAATCATCCAGAAATGAGGATTTTGAAAAAAATTAAACCTAATTTCACCTAAGAACAGTAGATATGCCTAACTACATCGAATTAATAAAAACCAAACAAACCTCTCTGGTAGGCTGGTGAGAAAGTAGCTAAAGGCAGCTGTGAAAACACCTTAGAGGATTCTACTCTGCACTCTACCTGGTCTGTTGTGCCTATCATGTTCTTTAGAGAAAAGCTAAGAAGCAGCAATAATGACAGAAAAACAGTAGAATTCAGAAGTTAGAGACTGGAGAACAAGCAAAATATTTTAAAATAGAGTGGAGGAGAATTTTACATCTAGCAGAAATTGAAATAAAAGGTTGTCACCTGAAGGCGGAGGAGGTCTCTGTGGGGGAGCGGGGCGTGTGGGAGGAGCGACTGGGCGGGGCGGCGGTGGCCGCTTGGGCTCCAAGGGCTGGGTAGGGTCTTTCTGCGGCAGCGGCGGCGTTGCTGGCTGTGCATCAATAGGAGAACCTAAAAAACGCACAAGAGGGAAGATGATCAGGTTCCAAGTAGCTGTTGGCAGAAGGGAACGATCAGTCCTTCATATATATGTTCTATAAAATGTATGTTCTATAGGTGATGTTCTATAAAATGTGCACAATGGTGTAAATAAAGGGCATGTATTTTCAGTATGAATAAGAAAAGCAGTCTACCCTTAAACTACCCTCTGGTACCATGGCAGCAATAATTCTACCTCTGTGCTGACTTCTTACCGAGGCCTCAGGTGCTGAAAGCTAATTTAGTAAGTGGCCCTACTGATATGGCACAAAGTATTGTTTGGGTTAAGTCATTTTGCAGTCTGGCCAGTAGAGGGAAGAAAAAGCTCAAATAGTTATGGGTTCAAACCATAGAAAATCATCAGTTATAAGACATGGACAAACCTAACCACAAAGAAAAAAGATTAAAAACAATTTTCATCTAGTGACAGTTGTAACAAGTTTCCTTTCCATTGAGAGCTTATCATCTACAAGTTTTCCTCTTCTGTACTGTAGAAAACAGGGTGCACTTTAGCACCTAGGTATAAAAGTGAAACAATAATGACTCTCCAACATCAAGTACATTGGCTACAGGAAGCCGTACTAAACTTTCAAGTAAAATGCATACTCTGTGCACTTGGAGGCCCAGGAGTTCTTGACGGTGCTCGGCTTGGTCTGATGGGAAGGGAAGGTACAGGACCCTCTGATATCGTAGGTGACTGGCAGGGACTAGTCCGGGGTGAAGAGCTGGGGGAAGTGCCAAGGCCAGAACTTGAAGATGGCTGGAGATGCTGGGGAAGAAGTTCCTCCACTTCAGCACTATAGTCATCCACATCACCTAAGGAAAAGCAGGGCTGATCAGAGATACCTCCATTTTAACTTGCTCAGAGATTTTTTTTTCACCTTAGGTTTCAAAGAGTTAAAATACACAAAACAAATGTGAACATTGTAACATTGCAAACATACATGGATTAAGCATGAAGGCATGTAGAAAACCAGAATTAGTAGAAATGTTCTTTCAGAGGATATAAAGATAGCTACCGTCTCTGAGCAATAAGATGCCAGGTGACCAACCACTTGGAGCTGAGGTGACCCAACGGGCTTTCAGTATGCCCCAGAGTAGCTTCTCAGTGCAAGCCAACTCAAGTTTCCTGCTCTCCTTCCAAACCTGTTCACTGTGCTCTGTGGAACTGCCCCACTCCCTTGCCCAACCCAGGTCCAGCCTTAAGTCAACTAGCTCTGAAGCAGCCACACACCCTTCCTCCAGAAGTCTCCTCCCTGCCACCCTCACTCCACAAAGATCCTCTTTACTTTAACTAAATACTGATTCTCCCCCAGGGTATCCTCATCTCCACTTACCTCTGGGTAGGAAAGTGGGGTCAAGGAAACCCTTGCAACCTAACTGCCATTCCAGAACATTAATCTTCCAACTCTGAACAAGGAAGGTACTGCTGCTTTGAGGCTAGGTCATCCAGAATTGATGTAACACCTGCTACCCCCATTTGCTACAGTCATCTCCAACTTCTATTCTTCCATTTCCTGAACCCACTCATTGAGGAATAAGCAGAGAGCAAGATGGTAATCAGATCCTGCACCAGCTTTCTGTATAACATCAAAGTCCATGTGGACAACTCGTTCAATAATGAAATGCCTTGGTCCTATCCTTACTGACATTCACCTCCACTCCTAATTCACATCCCTCAGAACTGCACTCGTCTGAAATAACTCAAAAGCTTCATTCTGATTACTGCCTCCCAGCTTTTCAGTTCTCTCCCTTGGCTATTCTTTCTTTTTTTCATTTCTTCAGGAGCCCTAGCTTAATTCCTCTAATTTTACCCCCATCTGATTCTGCCTTCTTCTGTGCCTAGCTTCAGAGTCTATGGTTCTTCATCTCAACATTCTCCTACTTCACACTTCTTCCATTGCACATGCCTGACAAAACCCTGTCGCTGCACTGACCCCTCTGTTTAATCTTTCTGTGGTAGCACTTGGACTGCTGACTGCCTCTGCTAAAGAAAACCACTCAGTCCTGATGACTGCAGTCACATCTGAAATTGTGCTTTTCATTCTCTTCTGGGCTCCTAAAGTGCCCGGCAATTCCTGGTTTGCTCTTCCCCTCACTTTGCTCTTCAGGAGCTTTACTGCAAAACTCCTCAACCCTCCTGAAACTGTGGGCTGTCCCACTCCTGCAGGTAACTTCAACACTTCACAGAGAAGAGAGAAGTCTTAAGATGGGAACCCCTGCTTCAACAGCCTGCCCCCAAGCTGGAGTCTCATTACATGGTTGTCACTTGGGTATTTGAGGATGGAACAAATGGGCCCTACCCAGCCTAGTTCTCAGTGACGCTGCTCTACTATTCTGCCTTGCCCTTCCCCCAAACCATCAGCCCTTTCTCCTCTACTTTTCCATTAGCACTGTGCATTCTCAAGCCTCTCCCATCCAAAAACACCACCTAGGACCTCCAATCTCCCTGGGGCAATTGCCTTCTTCTCTCTTTTCCCCCAAACTTCCTTAAAGAGTTGTCTACAGACGTTTTCTCCACTTCTTCACCTTCCATCCATACCAATTTATCACTTTCTGACTTTGTCACTCCTGAGATTATTCTCATGAAATGTCACCAACGGCTTCCCTTCCTGTTATTAAATCAGAGGGACACGTTCCTGTCCTCATTTCTTCTCATCTTTCTGTGGCACAAGACACCATTAACGACTCCCCTTCCATGCTCCATTTTCCTCCCTGGATTTTTAAGCCATGAATTTCTCTTGGCTCTTTGACATTTCTAGTTGTTTCTTCTCACGTTCTTTTCACGGGCAGCCTTCTTCTGTGTATATTTAAACTCTGTGTTTCCACATATTCAATCCAAGACTGTATTTCTCCATATTCGATTCATTCTCTCCTGTCTCTACATAATCCTATTGGCCAAAGTTATAGTAATAAATGCCCATGACTTTGTAGGCGATTAGAGCTGCCTTAAATCCAGAGCTCTCTCCTGAGCACCAGACTCATGTCTGATTGACTCCATGAACATCTCAAATTCAACATATCCAAAACAGAATTCATCTTCCACCCCACACCTACTTCTGCCTCTGCATTTCTCTTCTTCATTTACTTCCTCACTAAAATCCCTGCATAATACATTGGGATCCTCTTCCTCCCCATTTAGGCTGTACACATGCCTTCTTCTTGGATCTCTCCTTTGTAGCCTTAATCCTATTCTCCCTGAGTCTTCAGATTCTCAACTTAAATTTCAATTCCTCTGGGAAACCTTGCCCAACTTCCCAAAGCCAGGTTAGGCAACTTTTCCATGAGCTGCCACAGCACCATCCATTGTCACTTTATTATAATTGCCTGCTTACTTGTATGTAACACCAAATAAGCTATGAGTTCTAGAAAGGCAAGAAACACAGCTGTTGAATCTCCAGCACCCTGCTATATCTGGCATAAAGATACTACATAAATATGTGTGGACTGAGTAAACAAATGAACAGAGAATGTGAAAATGAGATAATCTTGTAAGATGTTCAACTGGTATCTAGCTATCTAGGGCATTACAATATTATTATATTATAATCTAAGGTATGTATTTTAATGGAAAACACACTAGAATAGCATATTGCATTAGAAAACAAATGTGTTTTTAAAATTTTTTCTTTTGATATGTTGCCATCAAACAAATGCGTTTTTGAATTACGTTTAAGGAAATTTTTGGAGTAATTATTTAAACTCATTTCTGTTCTTAGAATACCCTTTTGGAACTTCTACTTTTTTACCTTAACTTTAATTATTGGGACTAAACCATGCACCAAAAATATCAATTTGGGTTTTTTTAATCCAATAAGAATATAAGTTAACATTTGTAAAGGCCTTAATATTTGAATGGAAGAATGGTAAACATGTTTAAAGTATAAGCAAAATAAACACAATATGATGCAAAATAAATAAATAACTTAATTAATTTGTTTTTTGAGACAGTCTCGCTCTGTTGCCAGGCTGGAGTGCAGTGGTGCGATCTTGGCTCACTGCAACCTCTGCCTCCCAGGTTCAAGCAATTCTGCTTCAGCCTCCCAAGTGGCTGGGACTACAGGCGTGCACCACCACACCCAGCTAATTTTTGTATTTTTAGTAGAGACGGAGTTTCACCATGTTGGCCAGGATAGTCTTGAACTTCTGGCCTCAGGCAATCTGTCCTCGGCCTCCCAAAGTGCTGTGATTACAGGATGAACCGCCAGACCCAGCTGAAATAAATTCTAATTAAGAGTGCTATGTATGTCCCAAGAAGAAGAAGATAGACGGACATGGAAACTAAGACTTTACAGATGGGAAGAAAACATATCTAGAACTACAAGAAGTAAAGAAGGTGTGTTTAAGAAACAAACCTTCCATATCAAAATCTGCTGCAACCTCTGCATCTTCACCAAGCAGGGTAGAGCTGGTTGATGATGGCAATGCAATGCTAATTTTCTCTAAACTCATTTCTTCTTCCAAATTTTTGATCCAGTCTGGACTTTTTAAAGCAATAGTTATAGTCCGATTCAATAACTAGTTGAGTAAAAGAGATATAAAATAAAGATTGATTAACATGAAAGTTAACTATTTTGGAATAAAGAGGCTGACTTCATTAAACTATCCAATGGTATAGACAGTTAATTTAGTTAGACAATTCAGCATAATTCTTTCACATATACTTTTAACTAGTTTAACGGTGGTTCCTAATTCTCCCTTTAAAAGCCTGTGGTGATAAATAAAGGTCTTTTCTAGGCTGCCCAGAGATGCAAGTTTCCTTTGCTGCAGCCAGTATGTTTCCTGGCCAGATGTAAATTCACCAACAACTTTGCTACATAACTTCATACTTTATTTTGATTTACAGATGAAATAACTGTTCCCATGTGAAACAACTACAGAAGAGGCAACAAAAAATCTTTAAAATGCATTTCCTGTTCCTGTTCATTTGGTCTTTCCTAACTTGGCATATGGTCCTGAGAGCTGCTATATGTCAGCTGCTAAGTGCTAACCTATACCGTTTTAGCATTTCAAATGCCAGATGAATATTAAGAGAAGGGATCACCATTTTAAATTTTCAACAAAAATTAATCATTCTAAAAAGAGAATGACTTTTACCTGTGAAGCTGGCACTCTGCCTTCTCTATAAATTTGAGTGAATTTTAGACTAAGGTATAAGCTAAGACAACCAAGACATTATAATCAAGTTATAGCACATCCTGTCAATGTGTTTAAAAAATAATTTGACTCAAGCCTGTAATCCCAGCACTTTGGGAGGCCGAGGCGGGTGGATCACGAGGTCAAGAGATCGAGACCATCCTGGTCAACATGGTGAAACCCCGTCTCTACTAGAAATACAAAAAATTAGCTGGGCATGGTGGCACGTGCCTGTAATCCCAGCTACTCAGGAGGCTGAGGCAGGAGAATTGCCTGAACCCAGGAGGCGGAGGTTGCGGGGAGCCGAGATTGTGCCATTGCACTCCAGCCTGGGTAACAAGAGCGAAACTCCGTCTCAAAAAAAATAAATAAATAAAAATCATTTGAAAAAAATTGCTGATAACAGCAAGAATCTTTGGTCAAGGATAAATCATGCACTAGAAAGGAATTCTCATTTAAAACCCATATCCTTATAACAAACTTGCTTTCTAAATTAAATCTTTCTCCCACATAGTTTCAATTTCCTTTGTTTGAGGAGTTTCTTAATGTGAATAAGATGTGAACATTTTTGGTATTTGTAAATGAACTGTGTAGCTGTGATCAATATGCTGTGCTGACAGTTGGCACCTTTGTGGGTACAGATCTTCCCTGGCTCCAAGTGTTACAGATATTAGAATTCCTTGAAGGCATAATAATGGAGAGGTTCAAAGTTGCTGAACTGAGTGGCATGGCTGTGTTTCTTAGTAATTTAACATCCGCACTAAGCTTTAAAGTCAGAATCCTAAGAATTCATAATCCTTTACTTGCTAATTAGATATAGCTACTAAAATCACTCCAATTTCAGAACTTAACATGCTTTACAAGTCATACATTACTTTTTAAAGTCAACAAAATTCTTTTATATTCATCAAAAAATACTAACATGCATTCTTAAATACCTATCACCAGTTAAGATGTAATTCTGTAATGGCCAGTTAAGATGTAATTCCTTAGGAATATCCCGTTGGTAGAGACCAGGGCCAAACGAAAAGGAAGAAATTTAGATGACCAAAAAATACTCAAAAAGATACACAGAAGTTTGCTGAAATGTTGGTTTTAATAATTAAAAAATGGGAGATAATCTAGATGTCTATGAATAGGAGTTTGGTTTAATAAATTTATATATTTATTCACATAATGAAATTAATGAAGCCATTAAAAATGACTTATTTGTTTAAGATGTCCATGACATAGTCACAAGTAAAGGGGTGGTAAGAAAATAACTTTATGATTTCAATTTGTGTTTGCATATATGCATATCCCATTTGTGTTAATGTGTTTGTGTGTATATAAAATGCCATTTGTATTTATATATGTATATGTTAATATGAAGGTTAAGAGAAATTATTTCAGAATGATAGGATCATGAGTGGTCTTATTTTTAATTATTTTTCGTATTTCCTGATACATGATTTTACAGAGTATATTAGTATTACATTTAAGAAAACAAATAAAACTCTACAAAACCTATTTCGAAAGCAATACACACAAATAATTTTTTTATTTAAAATTTTTTTTAGACAGAGTCTCTCTCTGTTGCCCAGGCTGGAGCACACTGCAGCGATCCTGGCTCACTGCAACCTCTGCCACCTGGGTTCAAGTGATTCCCCTGCCTCAGCCTCCCAAGCAGCTGGGATTACAGGTGCCCACCACTACGCCCAACTAATTTTTGCATTTTTAATAGAGATGGGGTTTCACCATGTTGGCCAGCCTGGTCTCAAACTCCTGACCTCAGGTAATCTGCCTGTCTCAGCCTCCGTATGTGCTGGGATTACAGGCATGAGCCACCACACCCAGTCTAATACACACAAATAATTTTTTTTCTCCAAAGAAGTTGATGTGACAGAAGAGGAGCTCAAGACAGTGCTCAAGGAGTTGCTCACTGCTGCAGAAATCAGGCCTAGAATGCAGTCCATCCTGTGCACTGACCATATACTTAGACATTTAGGATTCGTCTAAAAGAGTTCAGAAAAAAAAAATGACAGGCGCAGCACTTCAGAGGAGTAAAACTATTCCAGGCCAACAATGGAAGTTTCCCTCATCAGTGACTTTTCACATCACAGGTTAGGAATATCTTCATTCATTAGAAATTTCTGAAATACTTCAATGGGATGGATTTGTTATCTCTGGCAACTAGTTACATTTGAAGAAGAAACCTAGGCAAACCAAGCCAATAAAACAAATTCCTAGGAATAATGAGCACCTCCTTTCCTTGTTTTCTGGTAAATACAGCATTTTCTTCATTTGATAGAAATTTTTTCTACTATAGAGATGAGCCAGACTGTCTATCCCCAATTAAAATTTTAAAACGTTTTGCATCTTAAAATGCAATGAGAGAAATCAAATTAGGTGCTAAACATGTTTCCTTCTTAGTCTATGTAAACAGCTAATATCTCTGGGGAGGTACCAAAATAAGCTTAGGCTAGTCAGAAATCCAGTCTAAATAAAAAATATTAAACAGCTCCTCGAACATACCATAAGGTCTTTTCCCCTCTCATTCAGATAATCTTGCTGCATGTCTATAAAAATATCGTATAATCTTCAGACACTTAACTGCAGAATGGTTTAGAATCAACAAATGCTACCTTACCTCTTTACCATTTAGGCTCAGAACATTCAAGGCAGAGCTTCCCTCCAAAAATGTAACCCACATTTTATCTTCTACAAATCTTTAAGAAAGAGAAAAACAACGAAAAACCATAATTAATACCATAGACATAACAAGCTCAGTGACTACTCCCATGATTACTGGGCCTGCAGAGGCCAGGAAGTAAAAAAGTAAAGGAGGGAGCGCTGGTAGGGCTTGTGGTGACCCGGAGAGGGCACTCTTCCCCTAAGAGCACTCTAGCCCCAATTTCTTTAGGATATTATGCTAATGGATAGCCAGAAGAAATGGGTCTGTGTACCTCCATTTGTGATCACTGCTAATTCAATCTAACCCAATCCTCCATTTGATGGAGAAGGCAGAAAGGGCCAGAGGTTAAGTGGCTTGTTCAAAGTGATTCTATAAGGAGAATAAGTTACAGGGCTGGGGATCCAAGTCTCCAGATCCCATAACCCAGTACTATGTATTTTCAGTCTCAATGACTTCCCTGAAGAAAATTTCCTATAACCAAAAAAGATGAAAGTTGTCAACAAAAGAAAACAAATCAGACTGGCCCCAAAAAGCCCTAGATTGTGCTCCTTGTCTTTAGTCATCGATAAAGATTTACTCTTTTGGGACTTCAATGGTCTGTGATAGGATTCCAAGTTTCTACTTTTGAAATAAAAAACTCTCAAGAGGAAAAAATAAAAAGGACAGAACAAGTTCTGAAGAGGGTCATAGGATATAATGAAGTTACTATTCAAAAAAGAACAAATTAGGATGTTGTCAATCTTATAACAGAAATAATTTGGCAAGCTGAACCACAAGTTCAAGAATCTTTACAGATATTTTCAAGATGAGAGTGGGGAAAACATGTACACATGTACACACACACACACACACACACACACACAATCACTCTCCCCTTAGCCCCCTGCTTAAACTTGTATTCCAAAGTATGAATTCTGAATATTAAGAGGAAAAGGCCAAAAACAAAAGTGTGCACAAGTACTTCACCCTGGTAAAATCAAGGTCCTGGAGGACCTGGAACAGATTTCTACAATTCTGCAGGTATGACCAAGGTAACTGACTCAATTTCTTTGGCATAAAGCTAAGTTGCAGGATGCTACCCTTTGAAATATACAGGAACACCATTTTTTTTTTTTTTTTTTGAGACGGAGTTTCGCTCTTGTTACCCAGGCTGGAGTGCAATGGTGCGATCTCGGCTCACCACAACCTCCGCCTCCTGGGTTCAGGCAATTCTCCTGCCTCAACCTCCTGAGTAGCTGGGATTACAGGCACGTGCCACCATGCCTAGCTAATTTTTTGTATTTTTAGTAGAGACGGGGTTTCACCATGTTGACCAGGATGGTCTCGATCTCTTGACCTCGTGATCCACCCGCCTCAGCCTCCCAAAGTGCTGGGATTACAGGCTTGAGCCACTGCGCCCGGCAGGAACACCATTCTTACCTACCTACATGAAGGTATCTTTTTCAAATTGATGGTGATCGAGAATATCCCTTCTCCTAAGGTTATAATCACCACTGTAAGGACACACTTATGCCACACCAGTCCCCTAAAGCCCCAAACATTATTTGTTCTTTGATAGATACCAACACTTTTGTGGTCCTGGGTAAGGGCTAATATCTTTGTCCTTACTGTCAATCAGCAATGTGCCCCTTACACATTTCTAACTTTAACAAGGGATTCTGGTTCTTATATCCATTGATTTATGTAAGATTTTTGGAAGCTATATTTTCTTCCTGCTTTCACTCACCATAGTAAGAGCGTCTAGACTTTTCCTTCAATTACTATAAGTATCTATATGTATTTAAATTTATCCCATACACATTTCCAGGGAACATCTTATTTAAAAATAAAGGGGTTTACAGGCTTTACTCACTCTTTAATGGCTGTCTTAATCTAGACTAAAAGGTAATAATCAGTTTCATCTCACTGCTTGTAGTGATCCCCTCCTTGTTGACTTTCAGTGTCTGCTTTTTCTTTTCCAACTTAGTCATCTTAGAGTTTAACAACCAGAATATCCAGGTTGGAGACACCCCATGGCTTTATAATGTTAGGTTAATGCCTTCATTTCTTACCAATACTTTTCCTAATGATGACAAACATTTGGGGGAAAGCTTTTAGCTTCAATTTAACAAGTTCTTCTGGGTTATAAAGACAGGTCCCTTTCCCGTATCAGAGTCTTTCATCCCTTATACAGTTTAGATTCTTTCTAGCTCAGTGCAGTATTTTACATTTGCTCAGGAAGACATTTATCTGTGACTCTGCTGCCCACTCACACAGTCCACATGATGCTTCTGGTGGTTTGGCATTTCTGTACTTGGCAAAGTATACTGTCATCTGTGCACTTGGAGGTTTCACTGTGTACTTTCCAGAACCTTAAGATTTTTGAAATTTTTTATTTTGTTTAATTTGAAAGCTTTGGGATAGATCTTTGTCAAAAGATTTGAAGAAAGTCTAAATACAATTTCTTTTTCATTTGTTCATTTACCCTCTGAAAGGACTTGAGGTGTCTTAGGCATGATTTTCACTCTGTAGAAGCCATACCATCTTAATGCTATGTACTATGCCATTTAGGATCTGGGGGTGCCATCACACACATGCTGATCTTCCCTACTAGATTACAAGCAGGAGCTGTATCTTCAATTTCTCCTCTGCTCTTCTACAGAAACTAGTATAGAGATCTGCCCACCAAATATCTGTAAAACATACCTAACTAAGCAAATGAACAGTATTTAAAAGGATTTAATAGTACCTCTTTCCCTATGGAATTCAAACACATGCACACATGCATGTTATTTAGTCTCTCAAAACTGCTGTATAGTTGGAAGAAAATGTTTTTACAAGGAAAGAGGCATCTGGTTCTGCAAAAGGCAGATGGCTAAGTCAAGGAGGGAAACCAAGACTGAAATGAATGACTCTTGACTATTCATCACATCTCTGTTTGTTAGAAGCTAAACATACTTAAAATTACTCAACTTTCTTTAACAGAGGTGGGAAGGAAGTCATTCTACTCTTATCTCTCCTTAAAAAAAAATACAATCACAGCTTTATTTTGCTATAGGGTTTCATTATCTGTTCTACTGTATACGAATGGTGAAGAGTTCATATCTGAACATGCACCTATTTTTGTCTTCATTTGGTCACATAAAGTTTCACTATTTAGTTGGGTTTGGTGGCTCACATCTCTAATCCCAGCAATTTGTGGAGCTGAGCTAGGCATATCGCTTAAAGCTAGGAGTTTGAGAACAGCCTGGGCAACATGGTGAAACCTTGCCTCTACAAAAAAAAATATAAAACTTAGCCAGGCATGGTGGTGTGCGCCTGTAGACCCAGCTATTTGGGAGGCTGAGGTGGAAGAATCACTTGAGCCCGAGAGGTTGAGGCTGCAATGAGCCATGAACACATGACTGTACTCCAGCCTGGGTGACTCAGTAAGACCCTGTCTTTAAAAAAAAAAAAAAAAAAAGTTTCACTATTTATTTATGCTTTCTAAGTAGAGAATTCAGTTTTAAAACCTACATACAGAATATCCACAGTATGATTTTTCTTTAGTTTGGAAATAAAAATACTCATACACTAGTCAAACACTAAATAAGGTGGTATCTTTCTCTTTTTTTATCTCCTTCCCCAAATTAGGTGATTTCTAATACAGAAATGATTGTTTATGAATCACGAGTTACTTGTGCATAATAAACATCTTACCTTATAAGTATAACTTCACCAAAACTTGCAAACTGCTGCAGAAGCTCATCAATCAAGGCATCATCGAAAAAATTATTTTCTGGTAAAGAACTTTTGATCGAGACTAATACCGTACCATCTGGTGGACCCTGAACTGCAATTACTTCTTTATAAATGTTTTGCCTCTCTTCAGCTTCAACTTCAAATATATCTATGTCAATCAGGGCAACGACAGGCCTTAAGGCATAAAGGAAAATAAATGTATTAGAAATGTTTTAAAAAGGGTGTATTTCAAACAAATTTCAAGCACCATTAGAAAAACTGAGACTGCTTAAACCTATGGTCAGAGGTCTTCAGCTCAGCTCTTCCATAGTGCAGCAAAGTGCCTGGAGTCCACGTGTAGAGGATTTTGCTATCATCTTGAAAACTAGCATTTAGAAGATCTAGATCTTCGGCTGCAGTCAGAAGAAAAGAAAACATAAGAGAAGCTGTATGAGCAGGACATATCGTGTGGAGCAAAGAGGCCTTCTCCTTTTCTTTCATGAGCTTCAGTGGTTTGAGGCTGGAATGCCAGAAACACTTGGTAATAGGCAGGCAGTCTAAATACCTTTAAATTAGAAAGGTTTTTGGTAAAGTTATTGTTTTATTCTTTACTTAGTAAAAATTAAGATGTGGCTTTACTTCTGAGATTAAAGGACTGTGACCAAATGGTGTTTCATAAACAATTCAAGAGACAAGCGGCAGTTTAAAACATATGCAAACCACTAAAGTTATTTTAGTTGAAAACCTAAATTAGCTTCAATGAAAAATTTCACAAAAATATTTCCTTCTCTTTACATAAAATTATATGAAAATAGGCTGAAAAATTAAATGTTATGATAAACAGATCTGACAATATTTTTTAAAATCTGACATATTTACATTTCATTTATTCTATTCTGGATAACATTTGCTGAAAAACAATAATAGTTCTCCTCTTCTCATTTGATATTATGTCATTCCCTACTTCCTCATAAGTTTACATTAGTTCATTTAAATAAAGAAGTCCATTTCCCAACCTGATCTATCAAAAGGCCATTTCCTTCTTCTCCAAAGGACACGGTCTGTCCACGCAGGGGTGCGGCACTTTTCACTGGTGTCATAGTCATCAGAAAACAAGTCATACTTATATGTTGGAGCAAAGGTCACCTTTCCCTCTAAAAATCCTCTAAAAATCTAAAATAGACATATACAAAATGAGTTACTCCCAAACAGCAATAAGGCAGCCATCCATTAAATGTCTATTACATACTGGATGCTCTCAGAAGAAATCTGTGTGCATCTGACGAACACTTCTAGCTGAATGGAACAAAGCTTAGTGGGTCCCCGGTGAGGGCCCCACCCTCAACCCAAGTGGTAACAGCCCCAAGTGAGAACTTATATTCCTGTTTTTCCTCCCGAATGTTGCGTTTTTCAAAACCACACATGGCCTGCCTTGCCTTGCCCCCAATTCTGTGCTCATAAAATCCCCAGGCTCAGCTAGCAGATAGGGAAGCAGCTGGATGTCAGAGAGAAGCAGCTTGACTTCAAAGGGACAGCTTGGCGGTGTAGTTTTGGAAAGGAGTACAGCCATGGGATGGCTGGCTGGACTTCAGGGGAAGATTACCTTCTCGCTCAGTCCTCTTTCAGCTCCCCTTCCTACCAAAAGCCACTTTCATCGGCAATAAAATCCCCTACATTTACCATCTTCAATTCATTCATGTAACCTCATTCCTCCTGGATACCGGACAGGAACTCAGGTGCCATGAGTGTGGGCGCATAAAGCTGTCATACTGACCCTCAGCTAAGCTGTCCCCTAGACATTGCCACAGGGCTAGTACAGAGTTAGCTTTTGCTGGTGCCCAAAAGTGTTCTCCCCAGCTCCTGCACTCACTCACCAGTGCTCCCCCTCCCACAAGGGATGGAGCACAGTGGGGTGAGTGAGCAGAGTCCACCCCTGCCAGCACCCGTGTACTCCAGTTCCCGCCTGTGAAGCGGTCAAGACCACTTGTTTGACATTTGATTAAAGTAACTACAAAAACATGAATAAGGGAATTCTGCCCAATCTTTGTGTTATAGGAGACACTTAGAACTGCAAATGGGATTTTGGAAACATCTAGCCTGATATCTTGTTCTCAAGTAAGGAGCTGGGGCCTGAAAAGGTAACATGGTGCCCAAAGTGTTAGAATTCAAGTCTGGTGATCACCAGGCACCATACCAGATGGCCACTGATCCTTTTACCAAAAAAAAAATAATAATAATTTAATGAATTCTTCCCAAATTTTTTGGTCATAAATTTTAAGAAGTGTTTCAAAAGTCAGATGACATAAGAAACAAAAGAAAAAAAAGTCAATGACTATAGGACTTAACCCAAAAAACAGCCCTGAAGACTAAGATTCTAAACTATTACCAAGGAAAAAAAAAGTTTATCCTTCTATTAGAAAATGAATCTCATAGATACATAATGTATTTTTCTTTCTGGGAATTATTATGGGTTTTCTCTTTCCTATTTTTATTACTTTAAGGAAAGATAATTCTATTACCTATTTACCTGCAGATACATAAGTATAAAAAGACCCCAAGAAATTTTTTAAATACCTTGATTAAAAAAGTATGTTTCATGCCCCAAAATCTTCTTAATACAAGTATTTTCTCAAGTATGAATATACCTGTCCGGCATTTTTCTGATTGATAAGTTGATCTCCTGCTATAAGAGAATCCCAATTTTGCTGTCTTATGAGCTCTTTAACTTCTTCGTTAGGGAGATCAATTCGATAGTTGAAATCACCACACCAAAATACATAGTCATGGGAAAACAGCATTCTTCCCTGAAAGCAATGAGACGGAATTTTAAATTCAAAACAATCAACATTCAAAATGTTTTACAACTATTTCTTCGCCTCAGATATGCTTGTCTCCTCCCATGTCCTGTTTCTTTAACCCAACAGTAATAACACATGTGAAAGGAAAATAAATCTCAGGACCTCAAAATCACTAAGCCCGGAGAAGAATCAAGCTGGGAACTTAGACAGGCAAACCTGCTTCTCATTTAATTCATAGGTCCTAAGATAAGAAACTACATAACTCCCTCACAATTTGCCCAAAGAAATTCCCTGTGGACAAAGGATAGACAGAACTCAAAGACATCCCTCTCAGACTCACCTGAGACAAATGCACATCTGACTGCTTCCTCTACCTTATTGTTTATGTAAAAATGCAGATTAACTGACCCAGGCTAAATTGTGTATTCAGTGGAAGGCTGATCTAGGACTTCTAAAAACACTGATGTAGAATTTGGGGCAAATTAAAATACATTTCAAAGCTTTATCTTCAAGAACAAGCAGTAAGAGCTTACCATAGGAAAACTCAATTTTCGTGCTATTTCTACAAAATCTTCATTTCTTTCTCTGACTTGTGACTGCCCTGCAGCAAAGTGGCTACAGACGAAGCAAAGGCTGGTTGTGTGGAATAGCATTCGGATTGCAACTGCTCCCTTATTTCCAGTTGCACCTCCCATTCCAGTCTTCACAGTATCAACTGCAACATCCCTTTGAAACAAAGAATTCTAAATCACAGATTGAAATTTCAAGAGTTCCATGTGCATAGGAAATCAGGAATATACATAATCATACAAGTACACATAATATGGTACTATGAGGGCAAGCCTATGAAATAGTACAGTGAAGCTATTAGTGAGTCTTTAATCAAAACCCCCAAAATCCCATTTTAAAACAAGAACTATGGTTAGTTTTTGTTTGAGGAACAGAAACAACAAATGTTCTAGGCTTTTTTCTTGTTATTTAATGGTAGGAAGTAGCCTTAGGAGAGTGTTCTGTTTACTGACCTGATAAAAGGAGCATGCTGTGGTCTGATAAAAACAAACAGACAGACGCCCACCAACTGCTCAGAAGCCAGCAGCACATACTTGTTGTCTCTGGAGATTGTCTTCTGAAGTTCTACAGCCCAGAGCTTCTGATTTGTTGTGCTATAAGAAAATATTTAAAAGGATTTTTAAAAAAGATAATGGCAACAGCCTATTTTATGACAATTGTCAATCATACCTTTATCTACCCCAAACTTCCTAAGACTCTGAAGGAAGCTTAAGCTGTTTTTGTTTCCTTAAAGAAAACTCACAATTTAGACAAAAGAAAACCACACTTCGAAATCTAATCTATTACTTCTTTATGAAGAAAATATAAAGACACTAAATGACTCCTCAAAATTATACATTTTACTTTTTCCTCAAGTAAGATCTCTGTTCATTAAGATCACAGAGAAGTACGGTAGTAGCTGTGGGGGGCTGGTTCCAGCTACTGTGGGTACCAAAATCCAAGGATGCTCAAATCTCTTATATAAAACAGAGTAGTATTTGCATATATTCCATGCACATCTCTCATATATTTTACAGACTACCTGTAATACCTAATACAATGTGAATGCTATGTAACTAGCTGTTATATTATATTGTTTAGGGATTAATGACACAAAAAAAGCCTTTAAGTAAAAAAGACCAAAAAAAGTCTGCACATGTACAGACACAATTTTTAAAAATATTTAATATTTTGATGAGTTGAACCCAAAGATGTGAAACCCATCGATATGGAGAGCCAACTATATGTGCTTCCAGATACATTTCCCTACTTTAATTTTTCTAAATTATAATGTCTTCTAAAAAATTTTTGCTATGGGAAATTAGAAAACATAATTATTAAATAAACCACCATACACCCGTTTCAAAATTATCAATATTTTGCCAATCTATTTTCTTCCACCCCTCTTCACCTTTTTTGGTAAACCTAGAATATTTTGGACCAATTCTAAGACTTACGCTCTTTCACCTGCAAATACTTCTGTATGTATCTCTAATGCAATGGGGCATTTTTATTTTTACATACTCACAATGCTATTATCACATTTAAACATTAATTCCTTAATATCATCTAGTAGTTTATACGTAAAGTTCCCCATTTATCAAAAAAAAAATCTTCTAACAGTTGGTTTGTTTCTTTTAAAAGGGTCCAAACAAGGTCCACATATTGCATTTCCCTGTTATGTCTCCTAATCTCTTTTTTATTTTTTGAGATGGGATCTCACTCTGTCACCCAGGGCTGGAGTGCTGTGGCAGGATCTTGGTTCACTGCAACCTCTGCCTGGGTTCAAGCGATCCTCCCATCATCAGCCTCCCAAGCAGCTGAAACTTCATTCCTCATCTTCTCAGTGAACCTTATCCTGATTATTCATTTAAGACTGCCAACACTTCTCTGTGTCCCTATAGTGATCCTTTTCCTCTATTTTCCACTGCACTTTTCTAACATGCTATATAATTTACTTATTGTAGTTATTGTTCACTGCCTGTTTCTTCCCACTAGAATACAAAGTCCATGAAGATAGGGATTTTTGTTTGTTTTATTCGTTGGAGGTACCTAGAGTGGTACTCAGTAGATACTGCTTTAAAAAATGAATAAATATTCACCATTTTATTAAAGAAGAATATATATATATATATATATATATATATATATATATATATTCCATACATATATATGGGGCAGGGAGCCTCGCTCTGCCACCCAGGCTGGAGTGTGCAGTGGTGCAATCTCCACTCACTCCGTCTCCAGGGCTCAAGTGATTCTCCCTGCCTCAGCCTCCTGAGCAGCTGGGATTACAGGCATGTGCTACCACATCCAGCCAATTTTTGTAGTTTTAGTAGAGCCAGGGTTTCACTATGTTGGCCAGGCTGGTCTTGAACTCCTGGCCTCAAGTAATCCACCTGCCTTGGCCTGCCAAAGTGCTAGGGTAACAGGTATGAGCCACTGTGCCTGGCCTAAAGAAGACTTTGATTAAACCTAGCCTAAAGAAGAATTTAATTAAATTCTATTTAGACAAACAACTGATCAATGCACTTGGTAATAGGAACTCTCAGAGTTATATTCTAGTTTAAGACCTGAATATATTTTTCACGAAACATAATCAAACAACAAAATGAGTGAAGTTAATTTCTTTCCAATTTTCCTGATGTAAACTGTTACTCATTTTGGCTAATAAAATATCTGTCATTTGCAAAATTGACTATTTCAACCCATAATTTCCTCCTGAAACATCTTGAAAAATGTCACAAAAGATGGGAAACTGCTGAAATTTAAAAGCAAGCATACTCTGTTAAAATAAAATCCCCCTTTAAACTTCACAAATATAATTTGTATTTGTAATATGGGTTCAGAGCAGCAATTCCAAAAGTGTAGTCTGGGGATATCTTTGAGGGATCCCAAAGCCCATGGGGTCACAAGTATTTTCATAATACTATTAAGGCATCTTTCACTGTGTTGACTGACAGTTGCACTGATGGCGCAAAAGCAACCACTGGTAAAAGTGCTGGTGCTTTCACTTGAATCCAGGTGCCAAACTATACTAGTCATCATTATAATCCCCACTGCCATACACTTGCAGTAAAAAAAAAAAAAAAAAGCCACTTCACCTAAGAATGTCCTTGATGAAGCACTCAACATTATTCATTTGATCAAAGCTCAACCCAGGTTACATCTTTTTAATATTTTGTGTGATACACAGGAAATACACACAAACCACTTGTGTGGTACACTGACTTATGATATTTATCTCAAAAAAAAAAAGAAAATAAGTTGTGAGTCAAACTGCCACTTTCTTTGGAATACAGTTTTTCCTTAAAAGAACTAATGACAGCCGGGCGCGGTGGCTCAAGCCTGTAATCCCAGCACTTTGGGAGGCCGAGGTGGCTGGATCACCTGAGGTCAGGAGTTCGAGACCAGCCTGGCCAAAATGGTGAAACCTATCTCTACTAAAAACACAAAAAGGCCGGGCGCGATGGCTCACGCCTGTAATCCCAGCACTTTGGGAGGCTGAGGCGGGTGGATCACGAGGTCAAGAGATCGAGACCATCCTGGTCAACATGGTGAAACCCCGTCTCTTCTAAAAATACAAAAAAAAAAAAACATTAGCTGGGCATGGTGGCGCGTGCCTGTAATCCCAGCTACTCAGGAGGCTGAGGCAGGAGAATTGCCTGAACCCAGGAGGCGGAGGTTGCGGTGAGCCGAGATCGCGCCATTGCACTCCAGCCTGGGTAACAAGAGCGAAACTCCGTCTCAAAAAAAAAAAAAAAAAAGAACTAATGACAGATGATGGTTATTCAGACTTACGTTATTTGGTATTTTTTTCAACTACGCCTGTCTCTTCAAGAAAAACAACCAAGAGTATTTGTTTTCAATGGTAAAGCTTGAGTTTTCAGGCAAAAATTAGTATTCTAGAAAACTTGTATCTGCTACCATGATCCTTACAGCTTCCCAACAATTATTCTCTGATGCAATTACCAGTGATGGTAATTAACCAATATGATGATTTGATATTATATAATGAAATGTGTTAAAATTTGGAAGAGCTACATAACTTAGAAAACTAGTATTACCCCAAGTGACCAATACACAATGTTACAAAATCATGCAAAGGTAAAAGATCGATGAATTTTAGACTAATAGAGCACAAAAAGTTTATCGATATGGTTTCAGATTCCATTTTGCAACTAACCTTTAAGACTACCATTTTGTGTGGTGTCTTATCTACACTATACCAAGATAACACTTCTCTGTTATCTACACTACAACAGAGAAGAAATTATCTGTTTTGGTATAGTATTAGAGAAGAAATTATCTGGAAAGGTTATAAAAATATTGTCTTTTCAAACTACATAGTTATGTGATTTTTCTTCGTACACTTCAAGCAAAACATACTGCAGCAGACTGACACAGAAGTAGATGTAAGAATCTGGCTGTCTTAAACTAGACATTAAAGAGATTTGCAAAACTACAAGACAGTGCCACCCTTCTCAGTAAATTTTTTGTTTTGAAAAAGTTATTTTTCAAAAAAATTATTTTATGTTAGCATGTAATAGGTTTATTATTGTTCTTAAGTGAATTAAATGTTTTTAAATTTTCATTTTTAATTTCTAATATAATAAATATCAAGAGATATAAACATTAACAAAAGTTCTTTTAACATTCTCAATATTTTTAAGTGTGCAGAGAGATCCTCAGACCCAAAAGTTTGAAAAATGCTCTTTTACAGTTTAACAAGCACCTTTCCATTTATTATTTCAAGCTATCCTTGTAACAATTCCTTAATTATCTGTCCTCCATAGTTTACCTCAACTGGCAAATTTTTCAGTGTCTTATATGGCTAGCTTACCTTGCATTCACAATGTTTCCAGCATTCAATTCTACCATTTCTTCAAAACCAATTGCAAATATATCAGTTGGCTTACTTCTTTTATCTAAAATTAAGCATCCAAGAAATACTTTAAAACATAGCCTCAGGCAAATGGCAACCCCACCCAACACAACATAACACCAGATTTCATAAAAATTGATTTTTGTGTTTTGAGTTTAACCAAACTCATATCAAAGGCAAAAACTCTTGAGTGGAATAAATTAAAATTTACTTTCTATTCAGGTGTCCTAAGTTTGCTTCTTTGTTATCCTTGAAGATTCCTAAGTCCTTTCAGAATTCACTTTGAAAAAACTTTTGCTAAAGTTTTTACCAGGGACAGCAGAGAAATAAAGCATTTCTCAAATCAAAATCTCACATAAAACTGGAGAGAGAAAGAAATTATTCAGAAAAGGCGCAAGGAATAAAGCGACTGAGAAACTACCTCAAATTGCAGGTAACGAGAGGAATTTTTCACATTAAAATGTGAAAAACGTAAGCTTGACCTTTTCGCTATTTTCTGGGTGAAGGAAATCCAGGAAAACTAGGAGAGATCCAGAAACTAAGACACATTACTCTGTCTAGATACTAAGGACTAAAGGAGAACAGAGCTGCTTGAGAAAGCAGCCCAGAGACTTTGGGTGCCCCAAGTTTCTAGAAATGATGACAAATAGCTAGAAAGAGCCTATATGACCAGATGCTACAGCCCCTGCCTATAATGCCAAACACTTTGGAAGGCAGAGGTGAGAGGATCACTTGAAGCCAGAAGTTTGAGATCAGCCTGGGCAACATAGTAAGACCCCTATCACTACAAAAAATAAAAATAAAAAAATTAGCTTAGCATGGTGGCATGCACGTAGTCATAGCTACTGAGAAGGTTGAGGAGGGAGGATCTTTTGAGCCCAGCAGTTTGAGGTTGTAGTGACCTATGATATGGCCACTACACCCCTGCCTGGGCAATGGAGAAAAGGACCCTGTCTCAAAAAGAGGTTGGGGGGAAAGAGCCTATAAATAGTCTGAACTAACACTGAGAATTAAAAATATGTATATTGACGGCTATTATGTGCAAGGCTCATGCATACATCACCTCATTTAATTTGCCACATAAACACCTTATAAGAAAGATTATTTTTTGTCTTTTATTTACAGACAGGAGATTTGTCCAAGTTCACACATAAAATGCAGCCTAGCACACAGACTCTAAAGCCAAACTGTCTGAGTTCAAATCATGGCTTTGCCACTATTGCACAAACATGGGCAGGTTACATCCCTTTCTATGTCTCAGTTTCCTCATGTGTAAAATTCGAATAATGGTGTTTACGTAATAGGTCTACTCTGAGTATTAAATGAACACATGTAAAGTACACAGAATTATACTGTTAGCTTTTATTATTATTACTATTACAACTTTAAGTTCACTTAAAACCTAAAGGGCATTTTAGTCTGGGTGCAGTGGCTCACGCCTGTAATCACAATACTTTGGTAGGCCGAGGGGGTGGATCACCTGAGGTCAGGAGTTTGAGACCAGAACATGGTGAAACCCTGTCTCAACTAAAAATACAAAAAATCAGTCAGGCGTGGTGGCAGACGCCTGTAATCCCAGCTACTCGGGAGGCTGAGGCAGGAGAATTGTTTGAACCCTGGTGGCAGAGGTTGCAGTGAGCTGAGATCCTGCCACTGCATTCCAGCCTGGACAACAAGAGCTAAACTCCATCTCACAAAAAA